TTTTTTTTTGTGAGTGAAGAAAGTTATGGAGCAAAGCTGAACAGGACAAGATGTATTGACACTCTCAACAAGTTCTTCCTGCACTGCTCTGCCCTTTTCTCTGCCTCCCTTTGCCATTCAGCTTTACAAGGAGTTCTGCATTGGATGGTGTTGGTGGGCCCTCGGTGAGTGTAGTGTAGAGGAGAGAGGCAGCAGAAAGATGCCTCAGATAGATTTTCACTTTATAACTTAATTCCAAATACGTTTGAAAAAAACATTAAAGTAAATGCGTCAGCACATTTCAGTTCTGTCCTGCTTTTTTATTCTCAAGTGCAAAAAWTTTAAAAGATTGCCTGTGGTGCTGGAGAGATCAGTTAGTGTTTTTCCAAAGTATACTGTTATTTCAGAGTCTTAACCACCTGTGGGGAGGAAACAGTAAGTGTTCGTTTCAGCACTGTGCACGTGTAATTGCTGATGTTTCTTGAGGGCAGTGTGAGCTGAGGTGTGAATAACATCTTTGTGGGTTGTATGGCACAAAGAGGTTGGCAACAGATTGATACTCCCACTTRATTGTTGGAGGTGGGACCAACTTTTACAGCCCTTCCTGAAGTCCTCCTTTGTAATGCTGCCAAGAACTTGCTGTCTTTGGTGGACCCTCCTTCCTCTCCCCTCAAAAAAAATTATAAAAAAGAGTATAAATAAGTAGATTTAAGAAGATAAGTAATATTTAAACAGTTTAAAGATTAGGCAAAGCTCAGGTTGAAAAGAGAAAAAGAAGATAAAAGCACTGAACTGAAATTTATTACTAAAATAATGATGAAAATGTAACAGAAAATTCAAAGTACCATTGAAATCCAAATAGAATAGTAAATGAATMAATGATTGCTATCAAAATCTGGATTTCTGACTTCAAAGATGAAGTATTAAGCCTAAGAACAGGCTCCTAATAGTATGCAAGACAAGGAAATGACTGTCACACTTATCCGAGCATCACTGTACTGGAATTACAAAGCCAGGATCTTGCTACAGTGAATGACACTCACACCWCAGTTGTCTCAAGATGCAGAAAGGAATGTCATGTTCTGTGGAGAGCAGGAAAGCCTCTTCTTGCACTTGTGCTGCTCCTCTCTGCAGAACTGCTGTGATCCACAGGTTCTGTGGATCTGGGAGCAYCAATGGGCCTGGTGTGTACTTAAGACTTTGGTCTAATTCATAGAAGTGATGATGAATGGGGTCAGACCTGCCCAAGGTGTCAAGGTAATGGTAACCTGCACAGAAAAGAAACTTCTTTCTGGGGTTGGTTTTGGAAGTCAAGACTCGTTGATGAGATACCACATACAATGCAGTAGATTCGGAAAAGAAAATGAAATGCCAAACCTGTCTGCAGCCATCACTGGAAGCAAATGACAGCAAAATTGTTCAATTTGACTAGAAATGTGAATGACTCACAAATATATGCTGATGATGATTGTAGAGAGGGAAAAGATAGCAGAGAGATTAAAGGACTTAAAGTCTGAAGGGGAGGAAACCCCTTCTCCACTCCCCTTCCTATCTCCTAGGAGAGACAAGGACATAAGCAGCTCAGACAGATTAGACCAAAAAGATTAGGCAGGAATGACAGGAGAAATGTAAAGAACAGCTCCATACAGAAGCAGCAMGTGGTGAGAAAAGTGCAAAATGGATCTTTAAAATAGGTGGTGACAATGCATAGACTCACACTGTGGTTATTCATTGTCTTAGCCAGGCCTGAAATGATCTTTATACATAAAATATTGTTAAATGAAACCTATTGTTTAACTCGTGTGTCATGCAGAGTTGCCTCCATATCATCTCTGATTCAGCCAAAACAATTGGTGTGTTTAGACTTAAATTATACAAAATAATTGTTAAGTCCCACTGCATTTAATACAAAATTGGCACAAATTTCAAGTGTTTTGCTGACCAGTGTCTGTTTATAAAAAMCAAGTGAAAGGCATAACGGTGCTGAATGTTTCTGGAGTGGCTTGTACTAATAAAGAAAATTCTAGATACATAAAGGGATTTGAATATTCTGTTTCTGAGTAACAAAATTATCTTCTTGTAACTGCAAATCTTTTCAGGAATATGAAAACCAGTCTACTGCAGAAGCCAAGTTTGTAAAGCAGTTGGATCAGTGTGAGATGATACTGCAAGCATTTGAATATGAAGAGTTGGAAAACACACCTGGCAGACTACAGGATTTTTATGATTCAACTGCTGGTATGACATTTGGACTTCTTTTTTTTCCTCTTTCATAAATGAAATATATAAATTCCCTTTTTTTTCTGACAGTCATTCAGAGCAAGTGAGAACTAGTTGTTTTACTAATTGCTCAAGTGTCCTAGTATTTCTGGGGAAACTTAAGGCAGTGTGAAAATACCTGACATTTATCTGTAGGTATTAAGTCTGAATTTCATTTATGCYTAATTCCTTTTACATCACTTTTTACCTAGAGAGAGGCCCAGCTTTCATTACACTTGCATRTGTTTAAGGATCTTCCTGCAACATCAGAGGGGTAAAKGAGTCTTCAGTCTTCACTGATGCTSTGTCAGCAGCCTGTTTCTTCTCTGTCATTGTTTCAGGAGCCAGCAAAGTAGAATTTGTAAGCCCTAAGTGAGTTGTGTGACCAGCCTAAGGTTCATGTGAGAACCACCTCAGTGAAGTTGTTTAGTACAACTGTGCTACTTTTTATTCTATCCACTGATTTTTATCCTTTGCAAAATAAACTGATAGCRGAAAGGAGACATAGGTAAAATAATAATCTTAATAATTTTAGCAAGGGAGTTGAACACCAGAAGAGGACTGTGACTAACTCATCCTGTCCTGAGGACAAAAAGTAGGGATAGACAAACTCTGGGAGACAACCAGCAGACACCAGAGTCCCTGACAAGTCCTATTTATATTTTGGTGACCCCTCAGGGAAATAATAAGCTCTCTGRAAAATGTAATACTTTGATTAGTGAAGAAGGAAAAAAGAAAAGGACAGCATGAACAAAGGTGGAATGATCTGTTTTCTAACTGACACCTTTGTTCCCCTACCAGAATTCAACAACTTGATTTGAGCTTGTGTCTTGAATAGAGCCAACAGCATACACTCTAAATGCACCTGTAATTGAAGTGGCTTCCTGTAGCATGGCACAGGGATTCARATTATCTTGGTCAGCATCCATTTTTCAGCTCTTAAGTGTCTTAATAGAGTGCAAAATAGAAGCATTTTGGGAAGAAGGGCATTGAACTGAGAGCATTCACTTTCTTAATGGCATAATTTGACATTTATTCTGAGCCTAAAGTGACATCACTGCTATTGTTCCAATGCCAACCTTTCACACATGGCAAAGTGTGAGCATTTTTCATTAACCGTCCCTTTCTTTTGTTTTGCAGGAAAGTTTGTTCACCCAGAAATACTCCAACTTGTATCTCTGATTAACAGAGAAAGGAACAAAAAAATAGATGCTACATCTCATCCACATTCCTGAGGTGTTCCTAAATGCTGTAGCTATAATAAATACTTCGTTTTATATTCTGGGCGTTATTTTTCCTCCTGTAACATCACTGATTCTGCTAGCAGATTTTTTTTTCCTGTGCATTAACTGCTGAGAATCCCAGGAGCACTTAGAGAGGAGCAAGCAGTGTATTTGCCTCCCAGCTCAGAGGTTGTGTCAGGGAACAAATATTTAGAATTAGTATGTTTGGGTTTTTCCTTCTTTTTAATCAGACTGATTAATGCAGTGTCCATTACAAATAGATTTTCCACTTAGGAAATTCAGGTACATTTAAAGATTAGTTGATTGCAAATAATCTGGTCATGTAATGCACTGTGTGGGGCAGGTGGTCTTGTGATTTCTAAAYGTGTATGGATTTAAATACCATCAAAATGGGTTAATATCTGCTCAGTGCTACACAGAAAGGAGACCAAAGAGCATATTTCTGTAGAAGCTTTTGACTCAGCTTAGAGATGGAGTGCAGTTTCTTTGGAGTACATAAGCTTTAAGTGATGTTGGATAAAACTGGTAATCTCATTAATTACATTTTCTCAATGTCGTCATTGTTTCATACGACTTTTTCCCTGTTCATATGTTGTATCAGGGAGTGGTGCCAGTATTTCCATAAGGTCTGTGTTCCTGACTGCCTCTTGCATCAGACTGGCTGTTTTACAGACTAAGGTAATGCACAAGTAATTGGTAATGAGAGAATACTCAGTGTTGGGAGGAACCTTTGGGGTTTGTGCTTTCTAATGCAGAAGCCTCTACAGCCATGTAAAGCTGGCTCCMTTCTCCTGGCTGTCACACACTGGCACCAGTTCTGCTGTAGATAGGTTTCTGGCAGAATTAGTAACACTGATGTAGAAGTACAGAGTGATTGTGAAGGAAGGCTGTAGGGGTGGTAGATGCCATAATGAAGCCAGTGTCTGCACACCCAGATCTTGAGTTGTGTGCAGCTGGAGTTGAGGGCAATGCCATGATTAACAAATCAGCAAAATTTGCTCCTGGAAAAATGATGTGGTAGAGACCATGAGTTCTCTTCTCTGTCTTCTGCTTCAAGTCAAATGAAGCAGCATAAGATTAAATTCAATTGTCATACCCGTTAAAGGTAGGTAATGTAGCTGAACACACATTTTCAGGCACCATGACTCAGGAAACGCTTCCTTTATGCAAAATTCAGGGGCCTGACKGAAGTGCACAAAGCATTCTGTGGGTGGTGCCTTTCCTAGAGCACAGAGTGCTGTGCAGAGCTGCTGGAGCTCTTGCCTCAGTGGCTGGCACAGTGCACAAAATCTGCAGTGTATTGGTCTGGTTCAGATGCTTGGTCTGCTCAGGAAAGCCCCAGGCAGCAGCTGTGCCCTGTGGAAACCTGGGAAGAACAGGTTGTGCTTTGCTGAGCTGATTAGTGGTTCTTGGCAACAGATTGTCATACTGCAAAGGGGGATGGAGTGGGGCCCACCAAGCTTTTGTCTGTTTATTCCACCAAGATGCACACAAATCATCGTCTCTCTTAGTCTGCATTGAATGATGAGAGTGTAAGCTACAAATGCATTGAAAGGCAGAAGTGAGAAGATTCGTGACAAACCAGAAAAGTGGCCTTGAAGAGATGCTTGGTAGAAACACCCACAGCGCAAGCACTAAGCTAAGCAGGACCAGCCCATTCSTGCAGTGCAGCAGGAGCTTCCCCATCCTGCAGGGGATGGAGGGGACAGAGCATGGAACACCATGCACAGTAATCATAGAATGGAAGGCACCTCAAAGACCATCTACTTCAACCACTGCTCTGGGCAGRGACACCTTCCACCTGACAGGTTACACTGTAGTTACTGGTAAACACAGAATTAAAAATCACAAAGGGTAAAAGAGTAAGAGTAATTTATTTTTAATAATATCAAGAACTTCATTTACGTAAACTAAGTTGTCCATTAATAACTTCCACTTTAAATAAATACACATTTATGCACAAAACCATGTAAAATAAGCTAGAAAATTGTCAATACTAGAAAACAATTAGATTTGCTWCCATGCTAAAAATCACACTAAAGAGGCATGTTATATAAATGTCCAAAGTTAACTTATGTCCAGTAGAACATTACAAAAGGACTTTCAACTTTGTAAAAACTAACAAAAGCCACACAAGAAAAAAAATCACTTAAAGCCACATTTTCTCACAAGATTTTAAGCAGTCTGTAATGTCAAACTCACTAACACTGATTTGAAGCTTTGGCGTATGCTCAAAAAATGCATTCCTTTTTAAAGTCGCCAGGCTCTTTTCCATCCCGTTTATTGATAACCTTGTGCTCACCAGTGTCTGGGGAGCTGGGCAATGCAACATGCGGACTGACATGTGCTCACTAGACAGCAAGATAGTGTCACAAATGTGCTGCTCTTTCCTTAGAAAAAATGTTAAAAGAATGCACTTCAGAAAACATGCTGAATCAAAGCTGAGAGAGGTCTGGCTCTAGGTGGTTGAGCAGATGATGGAGTTGGTGGAATTACGTCCTGGAGCAAAGCACAACAAATTTTGAGACCAAAAGTGAAGTTCTTACTTACCCTGTGTATAGTCAGGTAACAGGGTCTATGCCAGCAGCTCCAAAGGCCGTGAGCTCTCTAACCTATGGCACGTGTGAAGTCAAATGTTGGRTTTGTATTCTTTCACTTAAGGCTGTATCTTGACTGAAGCTCATGAGTTGGTTTTGGTTCCCCTTGGTTTTGAGGGGAAGATACAGAGGGAAAAAGATAMGAGGTTCCCTCCACTCCACTGGATTTTAAAAAAATCAATTTACACTGCCAAGTCTTAACAAACCTAAGAGAGCAAGCAATGGTGCACATTTTGAAATTGAAACTTTTTCAGCCACCATGACCATCTGAAATCAGCAGCTGTGATAGAGTTCAGTTTCTGTGTGAATAACTGGGTGTCTCTTCTGCCCTCCTTAACTCTGCCTTAACAGGTGGAGGCCAATGCCAGACTGTACCAGTGAAGGAGAAAGAACTTTCTATGACAGGTTTTAATTCTGTTAGGAAACAGATCATGGTACAGCCACTCCTGAGCAAAGGGCACCTGGTATGRATGGTAGACAGCTGGTGTACGGGCTACTGCTGGCAGCTGAACRCTTTGCACAGCTCTAGGTCCATCTGTCTGATGTGGCACTGAGAGGGAAGCCAAAACCCAACACATAAGAAAGAGTATAAACCAAAATAAATAAGAAATAGAGACTGGGAGATTGTTAGAGGGGGGGCCACATGTAACTGAAAACTATTTTAGTCACTTAACACAGCATTTAGCACATTATAGCCAATGATTGCATGTGGTTTTGAAGATATACAAAGTACCTGATGACAAAATGGCCCATCTAAGATAGAAATAGGGAGAGGAAACATTTCTCCAATGCAAGACCAGRAGGCAATTTTCCAAAGCTGACAAAAGCTTCTTGCACAAGTGTGGTGAGGGAGAGCTGAAAATCACTGGGCAAGTCTCTGAAGAGAGGCATGTGAGGCTCAGGWGGGCCTGCTGTTTAACACTGGAGCTCTTCTTCACTTTCTGGGAGTCGGGTGCCAGCAAGGGARCTCTGAGCGCTGGCATGGGCTGTAGAGCTCAGAACGTCTTCAAAACTGCTTCCTGTGTGGCCTGTCCCACCAACCTTGGTCTGAAATAAGGCAAAGAGAGAAGAGTAAGTTCCTCTGCTCACACCAAAGCAAGTCCCATTTCCATTCCACCCCATGGCTATGTAGGGCAGGGAACTGTTCMGGCAAAGAACACATAGGGATGGATTTTTCCTAAGAACAACAGCCATAAAACCAGTCAAATAAAGCAACTTCTTTACTCCACAATTTCTAAACTAGGCTGCCATCACAAAATCTGCCAGTGGCATGTCTCATATGCTTACAGGAACCAGTCCCTAAGCAGATCCCAGGCAGGATCCTAGACCCTTGCAGTAAACCCAATATGGTTGTTTACCTGAGTAGTTTACATTGGTTTCACTGTTTTTTTTCCAATTCTATGCAGGCTGGGTAAGAGATGGGTGTTAAAATGAACTGGCTCATTTGCTGAGTTAAGTGGCCCACATGCCAGCAATGGCAACACAGCTGCTCAAAAAATACTTAAACCATCCTGTGATTTTGGACAGCAGAAGGAATGTAGTAACCAAAGSACAAACTCAGCAGCTTGGATCCCTTCAGGCAATTGTAGCTACCAAGATGCTGGTATATTAAACTTTCAGTAGCATTTTCATGGGGGAAGGCAGTGAAGATAGAACAAAATACATTAATGAAACACACCCAATGGGCTTGCACATTTATTTCAAGAATGCTTCAGGTCACTGAATKTGTAATAAATATTAAAAATAAAAATCAGTAAGACTAAATCTCTGAAAAAGAGTTTTCCTAACAAAGATGCAGCTGAATCTAAACATTTGGAAATGATCAAGACTAAGTGGCGAAGAGACAAAGCTGTTGTGACTAGGTTGTCTTGGTAAGAGAATGTTCTTTTGTGGCTTGGCTTGTTGATATGCCCACTCCAAGTTGATTCAAGCCYGAAAATAGGGCAAAACTTTTTATGCATTCTAGAATTGCAGCAGAACTCAAAGACAAGCTGACATTTTTTCAGCCTCTCAGCAACTGAATGCTTAGGAAGATTATTTTAATTAAATGAACTTTTGTTCTAAGTTTCCAAAGGGTTAATCCTATGTAATCCTGTTTCTTTAGCTAGTAYAGCAGCTTACCTACCTTGAGAGTCCAATAAAACATCTAATTTACCAGAATTCAGATTTTCAGACAAGTTGCAAAGAATGAGGCRCCCTAGTCCTTCTTGATTTCCAGGGAAAAATGAACTAATATACTCTCCCAAGAAAGCTGCAACCCAAAGTCCAAACTCCAAGAGCAAATAAAATCTGACTTGAAATTTGGCTTCTAAATGTTATGAAACCTGAACATCAATTTTGGCTGACTGCAGAACATTGTAGATCACTTAAGATCTGTAGCTAATATGGAGGCTGCGAGGAGGATGATAAGACTGTTCTTTTTCCTAGGGGCTTCTCTGGGTAGTTCTCCACTTTTTGAGACCACAACAAAATCCTAGAATTGAATGGTAGCTCCATGATTTCTCCCCTGCATCTCCTGGTCTCCCTAGTCTTGCAAGCCTTGGAACAGAGGGAGGGAAAAGGAGGAGCAATGCAGAGACATTCCCATTTGTTTGCAGTCTACACTGATGCCACCCTAGATCCAGGACTCCAGCTTCCCTTCTCCATTTGCACAAGAAGGAGAATACAGAAAGAACACATTTCAGAAAATGTCAGTGAGTTTGCCAATAAAGATGGACAATGAARGTTTCCTGTGATGCGGAGGATTATTTCAGACTCAAAACTTAACTGTATTGTCCTGCTTAATTACAGATTTCTTAAAGGATGATCTAAGAGCACTCTGAACACAACAGGCTGAGCTGGCATGACAAGCAGTCTGCTCCAGAACACCTTTGCTTAATCAACAAAATAAGATCAGGCTCCTGAAGCAGATCACTGTGAGAGGAATTGGTCTTCACAGCTGTGCAGTTTGAATAAACTTCTTCTATTTCTGAATGACACACTGAGGTGACTGGGAACAGATACCCCTTACCACCACTATTTCTGGCATTTCTGAGACCACTTGCTTACTTTGGCAGACAGCAGAAATATTTTCTTAGCAACAAAGCACATAAAGACAATTTCTTTGCATATCACCTTCATTTTCCATTAATGCTCTCTTGCTAGCATGAAATTCTYGATGGAACAACAAATTCCTGTACAAATGATAGGGACAACTAAGTCGTCACACTTTAACATACACAGCCATGCAACTCTGCCCCTAAGCTTTACCTTAAGGCTTGTGACAGTWGTTTCAACCTTCTCCTCAAACGATTTGAAAGTTGGAGAATTCCTAGGAGAAAATTAAAGAGTTGAAGGGARGAAAAAGAGTCAGTTGCAAACATCATGGGATAACTCCACAATTTGATCAGTTCTTATCAGGCAACACTGCCAGGACAGCATGAAGGCTGGCTGGCAGCACGGGGCTATGAACACTCRCTTGTGCTCTGTCAGTCAAATCCAATTATGGTAATCGGATGAGTATTTTTTAGCTACAAATTTTGAAAAGCACAACCTGCCTAGTAATTGAAACCAAACGATAACTGGCTTGCCCACTCTATGATACATTTGTCATGTTCTCGGAGGAACAACCAGACAAAAATGCTGCCTGCACTGCTGCTTTTCGATGGCTTTATCCACTTGTATTGTTGCTGTAAATAAATAAACATTTTTTTTTCATCTGTTGAGCAAGTTCATAACCTATGTTATTAAAAAGATGCCAAGTTTAATGTCCCAAAACTGGGAAGAAGGAGATTAGTGCTACATGGGAAGTGGGTCCCAAATGCCTTTGAGTAATCCTGCCCACCCCCCCTCATTTTGTGACTGCAGATATATCCTGCTGTTTTCAAGGACAAAGACTTTAGGGAGACTGTGTTCCTAAGGTGCCTCTGACTAAGCTAAACTTTTATCTGTGTGTTCACTCAGCACAAAGGACTTGGGCCAATCTACAGTGGGCAAAGGGGACCTTCTGGTTCTCCACTCTTTGCTTGACATCTGAGAGTTCAATTACAGCATCCATTGTGCTTCATAAATAGTGCAGACTCTGAAGCTCAGGCACGGTTGTCCAGCACAGTTCCTGGTTCTGCAAACACATTTACATCATGTCCCTCATCAGACTAAGTTAAAATGACCCTAATTTAAGGGAAGGGCAAACAAAAGCCAGTTGAAAATGAAAATACAGTTTCTGTTRTTTAGTTGACAAATTTTTTCATAGTGCAATAAGGGTCAAAARGAGAGAGAAATTGAATTTTACAACTTGTATTTGACCCATAGGGCACACTGGTGAATGCTGGCCTTAAACTACCCACCTGCTGAAGTTGAATGARTTAGCATCCATCATATAGTTAAGATTTGTTTTTCCCACATTGGCAGAGAATGGGGATATTCATGTATTTAGATGCCAGGGGAGTAAAAAGAAAGCTGGATACTAATTTTATTGAAAACAGTCAGAGCTTTACTTGAACAGACGTCAATATTTGGCTGCAGTCAAGTAAAGCGTGATTATAGCCATTAAAATATGAAAGCACTCATGTAAAATCCCTCCATAGGAGCATGATCCAAAGCCTGTTGGAGTGGAAAGCATCTCTGACGTTAATGGGCTTTGGATGATGTTCCAGAGACAGCAAAACAACTAAATTTCAGATTCAGTRATACAAACCTGATAACAGTCAGCTATCCAAATACACCTCAGAACTACTTCATTTATTCAAAGGCTTGTACAAGAGATTAAGCAGTTAATACAATTAAAATGAAAAAAAAAAACCCCACAGATAGCCTGTCCTGCAGGCCTCATCTACATGAATAACCTTAATTGATTGAAGTGAGACTACTCATCCAACTAAAAACTGCAGGATCAGGATCAAAGTATGCAAATCTCCCCTCATTACTCTGCTRAACAYCACCATAGCAAATAGAATGTGGGTAGCACATTACCTCATTGCAGGCATGCTTATGGAATGGCGGATAGAGTAGCTGTGGGAGGAAAGAAAAAAAAAAGAAGAAGAAAAAGCTGTAAAATCCAATTTCCAATATGATTATAATTTTTTTTAAACTTAGTTTTTAATGTGCGCATACATATTTTCACAAGTTTTGGTATTCTTCCTCTCCTGATGGCAAGGGCATGCCAAACTCCACCTTACTCTCAGCACTAAAGATCTTACCACCACATTCTCATGTCAACTGACCAGCAATGGGGCTCAAAAGAATGATGCAGAACACTTCCTGGCAAAATCCATTTGAGTGGCGCAGACCCTGCTATCTACAGAGACACACGAGTGAGGCACCGGGAGCCAGCTGTCCTGGAGTGACCAAGGACGAGCTCTGTGCTAGGTTGGGGGGATACACCCCAGGTTTGTGCACATCAGCTGAGCTGGTTCAGCTGACTCCCAGTCTCAAAAGGCTCCTGCACAGCTGSCTACCTAMACARGAGGTTTCTTCAACCAGAGAGGTTKTGCTTTCACCCATCCCCATCTCTCCAGGACATTTCAGCTCCTCCTTCACTCCTCAACTTCACCAAAGGTAGGGAGCTATTTTCCACAGCTCTCGTCCAGATCTCCTTGTGACACTTTCCTCCTCAGACTTCCCAGCAGGAGGAGTATTGGAATGTTGCAAGCAGAGGATGGCGCCTCTGCATTACTCAAAGATCCTGTACACCTGTACACCTTTAGCAGATGCCACCCACACTGACTGCTTGACTTACATGAGACAAATTCTCCCACCTGAGCCACCAACTCTGCTTTCACAGCATCACCTGCTCCCTGCCACTGGAAAGCATCAAGCTTGGTCTAAAGAAGAATCTTTATTTGAAGTTTAAGAACTTTCCATAAGTACATTTAGATCTGAGCACTTTATGCAAAGTGGGTGCTGTGAGAGTTTGTCTCTTTCCAAAAATGTCTGCATTGCTACTTCCAGACTGACAGCTGCAGCCTGCTCTGATTGAGAACAGGGAGAGCTTTAATATAAGGGTCACCAACACTTGGCTGCAAGCAAAGCATGATTATAGTATTAAAAAATGAAAGCTCTCATACAAACAGCACATGTATTTGCTTTAGACTAGACAAAATCAGAGCAGCATTGAGCCTATAACCAGATTTTTTTCCCAGATTAAAGATGCAGAAATGGGGGGTGGGGAAGGGAGGGAAGAGCTATTTGCCAAGCAGGTAGAACAGTGAGATCTAATAYAAACTGTTTGCTGTTGTGTATATTTTAAGGCTTCTGCTAAGATCAGGTAGACAAGAACTGACAGCAGACAATGCAAATATTTCATGTTCATTTTTTCACATAATTTTTAAGACTTATGAAAGATTAGCCCAAACATTTCAAAAGTGCAGCTGATCTTTAACGATCCTAGTTAAATTAACCAAGCATCCTTGCCATTTTAGTCTTGTAACACACAAAAAATAGGCAAAAATAGAGTTTGGAAGTATTTCAGCATAGACTGCTCCTCTTCTAATAGCAAAACATTCCAAATACACAAGTCTAAGTCAGATGATTAAATTCACAGCTGAGAGATGGCATATGGCAGACAATCCAAATATTAAGTGCATATTTTTTGAGTTCATCTTTTAATTTCTCTAAAGAGGTAAGAATGCAAGTTATAGAAACAGTGCAAATGTCTTCTTTTAGTGGAAGCATAAAACATTAAGCTTTTTTTAAAGACACGTCTGTGATAGTGATCAGTGCAGAGAACAGAGACCCTCATGTGAGATGCTAAATATTACATTTTGGTTTCATGTCAGAGTGAGTTAAGAAGGTCAGTCTATGCTGCACTTTGAAGTTTTCACAGTGAAGAAAGAGTCCTTGTTAGGATAACTTAGCTGAATGGAAAAATGTTCTTGAGCTTTTCTGTGCACTGAAGATACTACAAGACCATAGGGACTGGCAGGGGATTCAGGGCTGTTCCACCTCTCTTCAGAGTGTYTAACAGCCAGACTGTTTATAGAATCTTTGAGTACACATAAAATTGTTTTCTAATTCATCATATATTCAAGTGCTTTACAGAATCAATAAATTCAAACTCTAAATATAAAGAACTCCTTTATCGTCTTCAGAACTTGGAAATTTCCCCAGGACTCAAGGCTTTTAAATAATCATGAGTAAGATACTTTAACTCTGTTGAAGAGGAGGTAATTAAGTACTTCATATAATCTTTACAAAACTCAGCTGAATAGAATTTTTTCTGTTTGTTGCTTATGTTCCAACTTCTGACACAAAAAAAAAAAAAAAAAAAAAAAAAAACAAACCATGGTTGAGAGAATGGGATTACATGTAAGTAGGTTTTTCCAAGACCAACATCTTTTGAAAGCGTTCATTATTTGAATTTGAGACTAATCTACTCAAGACAAACACTTAGTCCAATCCTTTTCTTGTTACACTCTGTACACGCTGTAAAAATGAGGCATAACAGTTTAAATAGCATGTGCTTTTATTCTATATAATGATGCTGAAAAGAAAGAGGTTACTGCATTACAGTCCATAAAACAAATGCTGTCAAACACAGAGGCAGTATTCAAAGAGAGTACTGTATCTTACCTAATTGAATGCGATCTGGGGTGGATGCACAAGAAAAGAAAAGAAAAGCAAGAGTTAAAAGTATTAGGGAAAAGGAACAAAAATAGACTTATACATCTGTAGCATATCCAGCTGCCCAAGGAGAAAAATAAAATAATTTGCATTCAAACCCTGTTGCTGGAATTCACAGTAGAATGCGGATCAGCTCAGATCCCTSCAAATCAAAAATTTTCACACAGTCCTTCACTATGCAGTTGCCTATTCTGTACATGTTGAAGAACTGAAGTTTTGTCTACTAAATTTTGTGTTCTTTTCATTAAAACAGATTTAAACAATGCTAGCCAGTTTCCCTCCTCATAGCCTCCCTTAGTATCATTAAAGAGAAGGTACAGTTGAACTGGAATTGTACATGTWCATAAGAGCAAATGTCAGGTTTTCCCCTCTGAATTCCTTAATTGTCTCACAGTTAAAAAGGCTATGGAAAAAAATAGGAGCTTTTAATTCCCAAAACGACATTTTATAAAATACTTGTTTCCTGTTGAAAACAATACTTGAAACACTTTGACACTGTGCTGCAGCTCACAGGAAACTTAATTAAGGCAGAACTGGGAGAAGCACACTGATATACAATATTCAAAGGATGTCATTAATGTTCCAAAGTCGAGAAATGATGAGGCAGACAAGCCTCTCCTTCATCTTTGTTATTGATGTAGTCCTTAATTACAGACCACTTCAAGGGAACACCTGCCTCAYGCAGCGAGCCAGATAGATGATGCACACTTAATGAACAGCGCTTCAATACTTATTTTTCACATCATTTCTTAACGTGTGGTCTGATGCATTATTTACTGCACAAYGTTCATACTTTGCTCCAAAGAAAAGCATTGATTTCCTCAGGTATATTTACAGGGTTAAACACATCATCACCTGTACTGGTGCTCCTCAAACATTCATGGGTTTATCTTCGTGTTGCTGCTTAGGCCAGTTTAAGTAACATTGTTGCCCTCCTTTCACTACTTGCTGGCTCCCAGAAACAGCCAAACCCTTCCCATGCCAATACAGATACTTGCACAGCCACACGATAAAGAAATCTCTGTTATTGCAGACCTCTAAAAACCGGCACAAATGAAGGTGTGAATGTTAGTGGAGGTGAGAGAAAACAATTGCCTCACCCATCAGCAAAAGRAATGTTTATGAAATTACGTTCTCAAGCAAGGTAGTATTCCTATTCCTTTTATAGGGCTATCAAAAGACAGAAAGGTTTGACAAGGGGAGTTTCAGGCACAACAGCTACAGCATCTGAAGGAATTCATGAAGGAATTCAGATCTGACAACAGTTTWAAGTTCCCAGAACATCCCTAGATCACAGAAATTCTAAAAGGCTGTGCAAAAACTCCATTGTCACCACTAACAGCAACAAAAAGTCCAAAAGGGACAACAATGAAAGGCACAGCARACTCAACTCCCAAAGTGGCAAAGCAGATTATTTATACCTGAACCATCCCCAAAAGATTTTGGCCTAGCCTGGTTCTAAAAACTTTAAATGAGAGAGATTTCATAGCCTTCAGAAATAACCCATTTAGCTGCACTCAYAAGACACAAAGCTAGACCTGCTAGCCCTTCTCTGCAAAGCTACCTGGTCAGTGCTCCCCATCTCTGCCTTTGAATTTTTTTTTCATTCGTCAGTAAAACACCTTACACTTTCCTACACTGAATTTTATAATTTAAAATAATGTGCAATTCTAATCCTGGTGCCTAAAGGGATTGCATACCCTGCCACTGCAGTCCTATGGGAATTCTAAGTGATGCCATCCTAACACTTTCATCTAACCCAGCAATGAAAATGCTGATGAGTCACAGACTCAAGACAGAAACCTGCAAAATCCTGCATTAGCTGACTAGGTCAGCTACTGAGACCTAGTCCTTGGACATAATTTTCAATTCCCTTTCCTCTCTTCCTGCTAGRGCAATAACACCTAAGCTGTATTTCTCTAGTTCTGCAAAAACAGCACAGCCTTATCAAAGTCAAGCTCTATCATATCTCCTACCTCCCATCTATCCTCTATGACAGGTGCTGTCAGTTTAAGATAATTGTTCTTGACAAAGCCTTTTGTGTTTTCACAATCATGCTATCTTCTAGATGCTTAGAAAATAACAGGTTAATGCATTCCTCCAGTATCTGTTTTGCAGTTGCCAGAACTTCCCTTGCCCCTCTGGAGAGGAATGAACTTCACCTCTCTGCACCCCTCTGGGGCCTTCTGTACCTTCTGTGCTGATCTCTGAGGGGCACATTCAACTGTCACAGTCATGTCCCCAGGTGCTCCCTCCCTGCACCTTTTGTGTCTTTCCAGGGTGCYTTCCAGCTCCTGGCAGCAATGAGGCATTATATTACCTTCATTCATCTTGAGAGCTGGCTCATCCCAGGCACTGAATTTGAAAGGGGTCTGTGTGATCATGTAATTAAAGAAAACGTACCAGACAGCTGAATGAAGGAGCTATACAAAATGTAACTGCTGACATCCTAATTTGCATGCACACCTTTGTTAGCTTAATCTTTCAATACGTTTACTTGAGGAGCAACAATGTATGTCGTAGTATGCATATAGCAGTGTAAGTAGTTTACTTTTTTTTCTTAAAGMAACCCAAAACCCGGAAATCTCTCACTTGGTACCACAACTTGTTTCTAAAAAGGTCATCAGCAGGGATGAAACATAGATCTATACAGACAGCTGCAGAGYAGTCCAGCAGTATAACATGAAAAGATCCAAAATTTAGCAGAAAGCAAAGAAAAAGGGGATAAAGATCCTCAACCCTATCACATCTGAGCAAAAGCCAGGTTAAAATGTCAGTGCAATCTCTAATACTGAGARATCTGAGGTACTGCCTTGAGAGTAACCTGTGACTACCCTCTTCCCCTTCACCTTCCACACCAAAGAAATATTAAAGGAGACAAAATGTGCTGGAGATGGAAGAGCAAAAAAAAAACTTGATGGCATATAATTAATCACAAGACCTATGAATAAAGAATCTATTATCTTAGCTATATTGCTAGCATCTGGTTTGTATCCTAAAGCAAAAGTATCTGTACTTAGGTTTTAAATGCATTTCTGGTATTTCTAGTAACATAGTATTAAATAGGATGCATKATAACAAGTAAAGAAACCTTACAAACACTATTAATTAATACAAAATTCAGAAAATGTAAAATGCTAGTGATAATTCATGCACAAAATGAATTAGAGAGTTTTGACAATGGGAAGATGGGGTGGGGATGAAAGAGAAGCACAGCAGCTGCACRAGAAGCACTTGGTACCCAAAGGGTGGCATCTCTATTCTTTCAGACACAGAAATCTGTCATTTTTCTTTCTTACACATTTTATCTTCCTAAATGCAAACACAGCAAAATAACATATTTGGGGGAGTCTGGCCTGTTGTTGTTATGTGATATTTTAGTAATATTTTCAGAGATAAAAGAAGGTGAAAACTAGGACCCAGCAACTTCAGAACAGAAATATGTGTTTCACATAGTACCCTGTACATATGTTGACATAGCAGGCAACAKAGAAAATAGAATTTTGTTTCATAAAGAAGGCAGGTTTCAGTATTCAATCAGTCTGACTGCAAACCCTTTCAAAATCACCGTCACCATAGCAGGAGGACAAGGCTGCTGAACATACTGGGAATTATTATGACATCTGGACTTTAGAAATCAGTTTCAAGTGTCTGCTCTGAATGAAAGCAGAAAAGGGATTTGCTTCTGGATGCCATTGGTGACTATCAGCCCTAATGCCTAACCAAGAGAATTAAGCTGGAGTCTGATGTTTATTTAAAACGGCATTATGGGAGGGGGTGGTGATAATCTATACACTAGATCACTGAAATAAAATTATTTGGATTAGTAAAAAAAGCAAGGCAACAATGACACAAAAAAATCGTGCCTCTTTACGTTTTATTACTCCAAACACAGCAGGGATTGGAAAGGGAAGGGGATGACTTTTAAAACCAGGTTATTTAAGCGATAAGGTCTGTACTGTGATCCTACACCGAAATGCACCTGCCCAAGCTGAGCCAAGAATTTAGGCCAGCTTTGTTGCTGAGGGAAGCATACTGACCATTGCTGCAGATTTAGGATRTGCAGCAGATGCAGAAAGCCCAAGCCATGCCATGCTTTATGTAACTGTGGGTATTCTTCAAGAGCATTTGTTGCTTCATCATCAAGTGTCCAGAAAACTCTCCTAACTGAGAACTTAACTGACAACAGCAAGTATCCACAAAAAAGGCAGCTCTGGCACTTCATATTTTCCTGAAAAATTCCCAACCAGGTTCAAGGTAATAATTTCAATCAAGTAAAGCTGCTAGAAACCAGCTTTTTGATTACTCAAAATGCTTACAGAGTCTGCTTTGAGCCCTTGGCTAAAAAGCTAACAGGATAAATACCTCCCATCTGCCATGTTGGAAGCTTGAGACTGCCATGGGCACGAGGGACTGATAAATAAGACAAAGGCATTTGGTAACAGTGATTAATTTAGGGAAATATTAAAGGATAAACATGCTCTCTCTATTTCAGTGAAGACAGATCTGCCTTTGCAGTTAATCTCACACCATGTGCAAAGCACAAGTAACAGGACCTGAGAAATCCTGAACTGTTAAGTCATCCTTCCCTCTATAATCCAGAGGCAGTGCTCAAGGTATTCACACAGAAACTCTTTGGTCACTACTGTAGGATCTAAAGCACGAAAACAGCAACAAGACCTGTTTGCTGAGCTATGGGCTTGCCTTTTTTACAAGAGGAAGTGTTAGCAAAGAACATAAAATGAAACAGGGAATAGKCTGGTGTCACAGGCATCACACACATATTATACATTTCTCAAAAATACAGAATGCAACTATAAATGCAGGGAATGCAGAAAGAATACATAAACATGGCAAAAAGGCTTGTGAAAGTGATTCATCCAACTGGAGCCTGGAAAGAGGGGACTGAAGTGAAATACAATAAAGTCACAAGAAATAATGAGAGAAATGAAGGTCAGAAGAAGAACTCACTCACTGTTTCACATAATGGAAGAGCCAGAAGGCACCAAAGGAAAGATCAGGGAGACTCCAAATAGGAAATGAATGAACAAATAAACCACAGACTTTGCCACATAAATTTCTATTCATCTGGGAAGACATGAGGTGTTATGAATTTCAAAAGCTCATACAAGTTAAAACAAATTCTAAATAAAGATAAATTCATGAAGAAAAACCCTTAAGAAACCTTCAAATGCAGGCTCAAATCTCTGTTTTGTAATGTTTTCAGCCTTCAGATTTCTGATTACTTAAAAAACACACTAGGAAATATAATTGCATGCTGCTTATTCTTCTGTCCTTTAATAGGCATATGCTACTTATGAATGTTTAACTGTATCAAGTCAAAAATTCTTAGTTATGTTCATATCCTGGTTCCAAGTCACTCACTAAATTTCCATTTTGAACTGCAGTGTGGAAAAAGACACTCTAAAGAAGAAATACAGTAAGGAAGATCTTCCTTTTTTAGTTTCACCTAGAAAAACATTAGTACTTCTGTAGASGATTTATTAAGATGTATGTAGAAGGTAGGTATTAAGGGGGGACTCTAAAGATTTAAGATCCAGAATAAAAATTAAAAGTGGAAAAAAAATTTAGCTGCCATGAGCTATGCTTCACCAGTTTGCAGCACACACAGTTCTTAGGATAYGGTTATACATTACATAGTTGCAAAAAATTTCAATGTGATAATATTAATAAATGAGACCCTAATTCTGCAGGTCAAACAGCATACTGCAGAGTTATCCATGTCCATTTATTTCATCTCAGTGAATTAACTCCTTCAAACACTCAAGAAGTTCTGTAACCCTACTACCCAATGAAAACTGGAATGCTGGTTTACAGTATACAAATTCTGCTGTCTGAGGAGCTCTGAGGACCAATACTTTAAAAGATACATCAACATATAAAGCCTGGCACTGAAGGTTCATTTAAGTGACAATTCTACTGACCTCAACTCCTGGTACTTCCCTCATATCTATTTTTATACAATTGCAGAACAAAACTCTGCAGTACATCTTGGAAAAAAAAAGATTAAAAATAGCCTGAAATATTTTTTCTGTTTTCACAAGCAACTCCTAGGCTTCTATTCTTCAGACGAAATTTTTCACCAGAATCCACATATAAAAAATGGGTTGATTAAGATCTAAAGCCATTTTTTGTTTCATTTTACTTGTGCATTTCCTTGAGCTTGCAAAGTTATTCCGAAAGGATTTTCAAATATACTTT